TTTATTGTCTGATTCAAATTTTATATCATTTTTATTCCATATTATCATGCATGTCATTATCTGTCATTATAAATAATGTATGAAGACTCTCCATCGAGTTACTTCAAAACAAAGAAATGTAACATAACCTAGAAACCAATTAGTGAAGTGCAAAATAGAAAATATAGTAAATATGTGTTTATAAAAGTTTTCACCTTTTTATCTCTGTTTGAGAGGTAATGGATGTAGTTGTGTAAAAAGTGGCATAAAAATAAAATGAATTGCCAAAAATTTCTATTTAATGATTGTATATAATTTCTTTGATACATAAATTCTGAATAATGTAATTGTAATGGACAACAGAATGGAGCAAAATGTGATAGTAACAAATCCATACAATCAAAATGATCAAATAATAAAGCAGGAAACAGGGACTTGGTTCGATGAGCCAAATATAAATATGAATCAGGGACAGTCATTACCTCATGAACTACCCTATTACAAGTATCAAAATAATATAGGCAAGTAAAAAGTGTAGGATACACGCGACATTTTTATACAAATCAACTCTAATTTTTTTATTTAAGAACTATGACAGTTCCAATAGGTAATTCGATGGATACGTCAATTAATGTTCAGTGGTGGAAGGACACATCTATTGCAGATATAATCCCACAACCTGAGTATCAACAAAATGTAGTTCCTCCAACAAATTCCTTAATAAGTAATAAATAGTAATGTTTAATTACATTAGTAACAACATCCTTTTTTTATTCTTATCAATTTATGAACCCCAACATTTTTCTAAGATCAACCAATGAATATTCAATTGCCAAATTCATTGGACGAAACGCAGATAGATAGAAGAAAAGCAGTAAAATCTAAACAACTGAAGAAATCAAAAACTTTAAGAGAACATAGGGAACCCTTGAAACGTACAAAACATCCAGAGCTATGGAAAGTGAACATAAAAAAAAATGCTAGATTGAGAGGTGAAGAATACATTGGAGTTGGAGGTGATTTGAATAAATTTTCAAATCGAAAACGAAAATAAAAAACGTTACAATTTAAAAACATAAACATATTTACAATTTATAGGAAAAATAGTACCAGCAAAGACCATGGGACCTCCCTGTAAATGTCGTATGCATTGCTCGGAAAAAGTAGACGAAGCAGCACGGGAAGAGCTGCATAATATTTTTTGGAAAACGTGCAATTGGGAACAACGAAAACAGTATGTCGCATTATCGGTTAAGGAATCTCCGAAACAACGAACTCGCTGTCGAGGAAACGTTAAATCCGAGCACCGTAGACAAGTTACCTTCACCTATTCCCTTTTATTGAAGGGAGAATTTATTACAGTATGCAAATGTATGTTTCTCAGCACTTTTGCATTATCCGAAAAGTTTGTGCGCCATATAATGGACAAAAAAAGAATATCTCCTGGCGGAATTATAGGACCAGACCAAAGAGGAAGGCATACACCAAAAACGAAAAAAAGTGAAAACGTGAAGGATAGAGTACGCGAACATATTAAATCGTTTCCAACAGAAAAATCAACAAATCCAATGGATTGTACAGAAAAGAATTATCTGGACTGTAGATTAAGTATAGCTGCTATGCATAAATTGTATATATCGAAGTGTAAAGAAGATGGTATTCCAGAAAGTGATATTGTTAAAGAGAGTTACTATAGAGAAATGTTTAAGACAGAGTTTAATCTTGGTTTTAAACGAGCAGAATCTAAAGAGAATAATTGACTACCAAATACTATTGATAACTAAATTATAAATATTTCCTATATTTTATTACATAGAAAAAAGTTTTTATATTCTGAAATTATATTCTGATATTATTTTTGTTCCTAATGTTGCTATATGTTCTAATTATACAAATTCATAAATATTGGATATCTTAGGATTACCATAAAAAAGATACTCTCGAAATGTTACTAGTACAAATAATGGTACACTTTATTTTACATACATAGTAAAACGTGAGCGTTAATAATAACGCTAATAATAATTTTAATCTTTATTTCAGCATTTCAATATTGAAAACAGTATTTAATGTGCATTGTTTGTGTAAATAACAGTATAAAATAATACATCATTTTATATGTATTACAACATAAAAGACTATATATTTCTGTAGCCTTTATAAAGTTTGTTATAAAATTTTGTTAAAATAAAGAACACCTTCTAATGTTCTTACTTTCGTATATGCTAAAAGCATAATCAAAAAAATGTTATCATTAAATATAAAACATATTTATATACACTGTCATTAAAAAAAATATGTTACTGTCAAAAAATAACAGATCTATGGTTTTAATGGCTAGGCTTTAAACGCACAATAAGTCGTCATTTTAACGTTTACCACTTTAAAAGGATTATGTACAAAATATACAAAATATTAAAAAAAAAAAAATTAAACTACAATTTTTTTTTTGTAAAGTGCGCGTAATAAACACATGAGATATCATACGTAAAAGGATACGAACAACTATTGTAAGTTAAAGCGTGCTATCACTATGATTGAAGTTCCTCTCTAAAACTTTAACGACTACAGCAGTGCATTTTTACTTTCCTCGTTTTCTTTTCAGCTGGTACTAGATTTTTCGTTGATCGTCGTTCAATAGATTTATTTCTTCTCGATAACTGAACTAACTTCCCTGCATCGTTTCGTTGCTGCTTCAACCGCTCCAATTATAGCTGACCTCAATCCGTGTTGTTCCAAATAATGAATTCCAGTTATAGTAGAGCCTGATTAAAGTTCAAATAAATGATCGATAAATCAAAGATACATATAGAACACGCACAGATATCGTATTATCTGAAATATATTTTTCTCGAACCTGCTGGCGAGGCTACATCGTCTTTAAGTTGTCCTGGATGCTTATTCGTGTCTCGAACCATAGTTCCAGCTCCAAGAACCGTTTGCGCAGCCAACTTATACGCGATCGGCCTCATGAGACCCATTTTTACACCTCCATCGGCCAAAGCTTCTATCATCATATATACCTGCACGCAAATAGAAAATACATTTTCACATTTCCCTTGCACAATAAATTCAGTTAAAAATATGTGAAATTATTTATTTACATATGCAGGCCCAGAACCAGCCAACGCCGTAACGGGGTCAATTAAATTTTCAGGTACTTCTTCACACAAACCAACGGAGGAAAATAATTTCTCCGCTATTTCGACTTCTTTATCGCTGGCATTTTTTCCACGAGCATACACCGTTGCACCGCAACCCACAAGGGCTGGTGTGTTTGGCATTACCCTTATTACAGGTGTTCCATCTGGCATAGCCTTTCCATTAACAAATAAACGAAACATTATTTCACGCGATTCTCGTTGTATCTAAATTTATGACCACTTAAATCCTCTTACGCAACAAGCAAGAGTCGTAAAGCATTCGTAGATTACCTTTTCTAACGATGCCAACGGAACGCCCATGGCAATAGAGAGTAAAAGTTTGTTGTAATTCTTTAAATCTGGCAAAACCATTGGAACCACTTGCGGTTTCACCGACAAAATTAGAACGTCGCCGTAGTCTACGACTGGTCCGTTTGAAAATACTGTCTCTGATCCCATTTCCTAAAGATAGAAATCAATTGTAATTATGTGTCGCATTTGCTACACGATTCATAGAGTTATCATAAATAAAAGATAAGGAATCGTACGATATTGGAAATTTTCCTAGACGCGATAACGATCAAGAAATAACAATCGACCAGCTAATTGAGCGATTTAAATTTCACGAAGAAAAAAAAGAATCTTACACTATCGTTTTGTTACATCGGCATAGGTTAACGAGAGATTAAAGACATAAATGATATTCAGATACAATATCTTTGAATTGCAAATTGAAATTGTCATTAATGCGACGATGATTGCCAATTGAAAACGTTAATACGTTCGATCTGAACAATCGATCGAGTCGAGATTAACGATTACGTTTTCGGCAAATTTGATACGCCGATAAATACGTACGTGCTCGAAAACTACCACTATCGCTATTTTTCGTTAAGCGTTTCACAAACGGATTTAAAGTCTCTCTTTATCTGTTTGTCGAGCAAGCAAAAAATATTTGTTGTTTTGATGTTTTTTCCAAGCAAATGTTAAGGCTGATAATACTAATAACCGGATGATGTGTTTATCTTTTATCAGCTTTATCTATTTTATCTCGGAATGCAACAATTACAAATTAAATCGTGCAATAAACAATAGTATCGCTCTCACCTTAAACGCATCTATACTGCTCACATCGTTCGGGAGACAACTGGCCAACATCATTTCACCTTTGCTTAATCCTAAAAATGATGGATGATAATCTTTTATCAAAAAAATATCTAATCGATAAAAAAATCAATTTGATTTGTTTTTACCAGCTCGAATGAAACCCTTGGCCAGAGCCTGTGCCATCTTTCCACCTCCAATGAAACCGATCTTCAACATCTTCGTGTCAATGTTTAATAATATCCTCCTCCTCTTCTCCTCGCCGTCGGCAAGAAGCTGGTCACTCACTGCGCAAAAAATTCATCATTGAATTACAATGTTAAAATTGATCTATTCTCACGGTCACTTTGCGATCCATTTTTAATCGCAAGGCGATTCGAGTACCAGCACAACTTCGTAAGAAGAACTGAATCACGAGAAACGCGATTTAACTCAGCTTTCCTCCAAATATTTCATCGAACGATTATCAATTATTCGAAGGAAATGTTGATACTCTTACCCGAGAGAAGTAAGCGCGAAAAATAATTCTGAGAGGGATCGGAGGTTCTAATTCGCACGATGTAAAATACGAACACTGTATTCGATCGAGATATTTACGAGCAAAATCAGTTGGCTTCTGTGGTACCCGTTGCTCGCCTCATCTCAGCACAGACGATTTTAATAGTTTCTTTTTTTTTATGTAATCGTACGCGCGAGATAAGGTCCTGTATGAGCGATATACACGAGTTTATTTCACATTTGTGACAAGAATGGAACGCGCGTAATAAACGTCTAAAAACCGCCTCGCGGTGAATTATTGAATGTTGCCCCTTTGCGGTAAAAATTACGAGGCGCAATAATTCATCGGTTCGCGCGATTTTCTATAAATCTAATAACACGTCCGGTACATAATTACCGTTTTGACAAATAACAGATAAAAGTAGAGCCAAGCGACGTTCGAACGTTCTCGGTAATAACAAAAGACTTTAGCCAATTGAAGGCATAAATGAAACTGAATGGAATACAGAATAAGTTGAAGAAGTCAATAGACGCTTCTGTTCAATACTAGTACAGTCCTCCAATCTTGGCTTTGCTTGAGAAACAATCGAGTACAGTGTTTATTGATAGACGAAACGAACGAATACCATAACGTTCGATATGGAAAATATTTTCCCTATCTGTATTAAACAATGGTGTATTCCATTGTGGTGTGATGTGTGATTCGTTTAGGCAGGTGTTGAAATTAATTTCGGCAGCATGCAGCGTCATACTGAAAGTGAACAATTACTTAACACTTTATCAAACAATCGTGTTACTAAACATACCTTCAACTATTTTCAGCGCTGTATTTTCACTCATCATATTTCATAACCACATCTACGGTGCGTTGCATACTTGCAAACGTGACAATCTTACGACATAAACAGTATCACGTGCAGAAAGACTCAACGGTTGATTAATAAGATTCACGTTTCGCCCTGTTATCGCCGATCCTTTGATAATATCGCGATACGGATTCAATGGAAACACATTTGTATTTCAGTTACTCACCGTTACGGGCATTTAGACGACGACGAACACGTCGGCCTAATCGTAGAAATTCCATTGTTTTCAATCCAGTGGTCATCTTGTCTCTTTTTTCTTTCCTTCGCTTTTTTTTTCTTCTTCCTTACGAATGCACGAAAATATTGTAGTAGATGCAATCGTATGTTGGTATTAAGTGGATGGCGCCACGATAAGCTGCATGCAAACAGAGGTGTTTGAAAGATCAACTAGGTTTGCTTACACTCGAGATCACTAGGTGCAGTGCGCATACATATATGTATGATTTATTTATTGATGTTGAATAGTTTGCTGATATTTGAGCGTAAGATAAGAATGAAATATGTATAGTGAAACGTCGTAGGTGTTGTAATTAGTGGTGGAAAGGAGAAAAGAAAGGTGTAATTGTAAAAGGGGAGCGTGAGGAATCGTTTTTATATCTAAGCGTTATTGGGACTTTGTACCAAGGTTCGCGCCAAAGTAATTGCATATCTGTACGATACATGATCAAATTCAATTAGTTTCTCTGATTATATGAAGTTATCTTGTAAACGCGTGTCCCACGATCTCACTTTCCATTTTTACGGAAGCAGAAATATCGAAACGGATGTAAATGGAAGTTTTTCTAATCGTGTCCCACGATTACGTATCTCACTTTCCATTTTTACGGAAGCAGAAATATCGAAACGGATGTAAATGGAAGTTTTTCTAATTAATTATGGTATCAGGTATATTCGAGGAATTTACATTCGTAACGTAGATTATCGGTAATATACACGCTTTGCACTAATATCGTTTCGACCGTTAAAATATTGCAAAACAATAATAAAAAAGAATTAATTAAAATGGTAATGTAACTTATAGACCACCCTGTATCGAAAGGGCGTTCGTGTATATGTAATTCGAAAGAATGACAACGTAGCAAACATGTAAAATTTCGGAAGAACGTGGTGTACGTGTTGAAGGGCACGTAACACATCTATGTGAAAGCATTCTCGTTAATTCGCTTTACCTAAGTTTCTTTCCTGCTCTTATGGTCCATGATAAATAATAAAGCAGTAGCAATGTTCGTTTGTTTGAAAAAAGAAATCAATTCTTGCGTAAAAATTTATAAATCTATTTAAATATTTGTATGTAAACAAGAAACACTTACGTGATTTACATACTGCACCTAGTGCTTCTTGGAAAATGATTCTGATGTAATATCTCACAACGTACTGTCAGAGGGATCGTTCCGTTCTTAATTGTTCACAGTGGTTTAACACACAAATTCTTTTCACAGCCCTTATATACCCCCGTGGATCATCGTGACGAGCTGAAACGCGACTGACAATTATTGTTCATCAGACACGGAAAACTACCTATTCTGCCACGGCCAATCACAATCCAAATATAATTGTGTCACCCCCTTATCTGATACAGTGTCTTTCCAAGTGTAACGTATAGGACTACGAATTATCTACAGTCAGGTATAACACCATCCTTAAGACCCATTTAAAAAACTCTGTATCAACGAGATTCGTTCCTTGTCGAATTACCAGCATTTATTTTCACGAGAAATACAACGAGACCCAAAATTTACGGATCGGTAAAATTAGAGAACGTAATTTATCGATTCAACTCATTCTTTAGGCTATCGACAATCGCCATCTCTACAAGTAGACAAAGTAAAATTAATTAATTAAACATACTATTCTTAAGATTTCTCGAGAGTTATGAATGTGACGAAGCAAACACGACCCGCGATTCGCATGCTACAAAATTCTGTAAAAGTAAGTTTCGCTGGTGGTTCATAGATGTCAGTGGTAATACTCTTGCGCGATCACCTGCTAGTGCAATACACATGTCAACATTGTGGCATTGATCCTTTCATAGAAAAACAGCAATAGACAATAAAGGCATATTGTGTTTTAAATAAATCAGTGTTTGAGTGATTATTGGTTCTTTTTTTTAAGTTAATTACTCATTTGGTTATTGATAGTAGACGTCAAGGTTTTTTATGTAACATATTTAAGTCGTATTTTATTACTAAAAAGCTGTGTCTTCATTATTATAATGCTCTGACAGGTACTTTTTCAAGTCTTTTTATATGCTATTATGAAACTAGTTACAGTTAAGTAAATATAATGACCAACAAAGTAAAAACATGTTAAGTCCATTGTTAATCACCTGAACTTTGGAACATATTATGAAAGAGGCGCCTTCTTTAGAACGGTTCATGCTTCATTCTGTATAGTGTAGGATTGGTTGCGTAAGAACTGAATTACACTTTTCGATATTCTACTTTTTGATCATTGTCAACTATTTCACGAAACATTCCCGATCAAAGAATTTTTAGTACAATAGGTTATATCTGTACTTCACCTTTTATATTAGTTAATTAAGCGTGTAATAATAATTTGAAATTCTATCGCAGAATGTTATATTCTTGAAATAATTTATTCAAACTGAAAACGAAAGGTTATGCAAAGTTACTGTCCTTTAAATGCTGAAATTCAAAGTTTCAATTCAAACAAATAAATTTGTAAAATATTGGATAGTGCTAGATATTTCTACTTTGCATGAAAAATTTGTACATAAGAACTTCATAAGAATATGTATGTTTTCATTTAATATACATACATGAATAAAGCGACTCTTAGTATCATTTCAACGTTAAGCAGGTTTATGGCAATAGTGAACCGGAAGTGTAATTAGAAAGTAATCGTAAACTATATTCTGACATAACGCACTTTGAAAAAAATAATATGTACTCTTACTTGTACTCTTTAATATGTACAATCTTTTGAATTATAGCAATATTCAACAAATACTTATCTGACAGCGATAATAATATAACATTTCGTATAGGTTTTCTCCGTTTGTAATTATAAAGATAACGATAAAAGTTTCATGTTTTTTTTTCTGTATGCTGTTAGTTTATTGCAATTTGGAAAGGTTTGTTCGAATGGTGGTCGCAGGTGTGAAAGTTTAAGGTCATTCGAGAGTGAATGTTGTTGCATCGCGGACCACGGATTCAGTCGGTGACGAGCGGTCGACCAGTCCGCACGCATTGACTCGCTTGTTATCGTGAGCTTTCTCATTCGGTAGGAGGTACACGAGTGTTTACGATAGCCTGGTTCGAGGAACCGAAGTTCAAACCAGAAAACACATTTATCTAATCCTCTAGTCCAATATCACTCAGTGGTAGATAGCCCCTCTTAATTGATTTTTAATCAAATTGATTCTTCTTCGGTTCTCGTTGCGCAATTTCAAATTAACGTGTAACAGTCGGAAGAATGAGATCAAAAAAGTGTTCAGCAACGATATTAAGCTAACTGTTAGCAAAAACTGTGTGACAGAGGAAGTGTCATTACGAGTTTTCCTTTATGCAACGTTCGTCGTTGAAAATTGACGTTTCGTGACCAGCAAGTGAATTCGCCGCAAAATTAATTGGTTGTCAAAAGAATGCCTCCGCAACTGAGCAAATGTATCTATATATCCTGTAAGGAATTCTCACATCCTTGGGGTGATTCCTGCACCTCTGCAACAACTGGTCTCGGCTTGCATGCTCTTCAAGAATGTCTTAGGATATACTCCACGGTTTACGTAGTATGTTTATTAATTACTTTTTTCTTTTGCTTTATCTAAGTTTCTTGCACTGTCCTTGATACGTGCAACCAATATCGATGCAATAACGCGAACTATCGATGTACAAACCTGTAGAATTTACAATTAATATATTGAATTTAATTATTTGTGATATAAGGAAAAGTATTTAAGTATATGGTGGCACCGTAATACTTACGCACGTAAATTATGATTGGTTAAATCCCCATATAGGATAAACACCAGCAAATAGAATTTCGCGTTACCTCTTGACAGTTCGTTATTGGTAGATTTGCTCTGTCCGCTGATCTTTAAAGATGTTTAAATTCGTGATTTCGCAATTTTTATTCATTGCTCGGAAAGGTTACGCAATATTTTAATTAGGCGGACTGAAAGCAAGAAATGATATGATCCTCTTGTGATTAATAATATACAGACTTTCTACCCTCGTTCGTTTTTTTTTAGGTTGCACTTTTAATGAAAGGAAAGGTACCATCTAAAGGAGATGTTAAAAAAACGATTTTGGGTATCCTACAGTCAACAGCTTTCCTCTCATGGAGTGCTTTTTCCTATTCAATGTTTATTTGTACACTAAGGTTTGCATAAATGAATTTATAAATTTATTCATATGTCATGCAAGTAGCACTATTGTTGAGTAATAGTTACATTATTATACACCTAAGGGGGGGATCAATTAAATTTTAGCAATTAAAAAATTGAAGTAGGATTTTTATGCATTTCATAATTTGTTACTGCTTATTAAATTAACATTATAATTATTACATATGATTTATTTAATTTAACATATTTTTAATTATGTGGCATTATCATATTTACTTAAAAAACTGTACATTTCAGACGAGTGCTTGGAAACTTCAATGTTCTGAGTGTATCATTTCTTCCATCCTTTTTGTCTAGTTTGTCAGCTATTTTTATTGAAAGGCCATCTCGACGTACTTTATTATGTTTATATGTATCTAATATTGTGAGTAGATTAATTTTGTACTTCTTTGTCAAGATATTATACCCCAATCCCACATGGTGGAACATACATTTTTGCTACAAGTATAGCACTATTACTGTATTTTTATCGCTCCAAAACAAATAAGAATGATTCCATATATAAAATTTTGAGGTACTTAGTACTTACACTATTTTTCATATTTATAAAATTGCAGACAATTTCATATAAATTAACAATTGTTTGTAGAATCCTTGTTGGAAAATATGAAGAGACTGATTACCTTAAAAATAACTTAAACATTGAAACACAAACATGTTCTGTTAGTGAAAATAGCAGTGAAAGTTCTATAAAAAATGATGATGTAAATAAAAAATCTCATAAAAAGAATCTTAATATATTCAAGAAATCTCTTGAAGCATATAGGAAAATTATAGAAAAAATAAAGCTCACAGGAAAACACATTTCTTGTCCACATCCTTTTAGCTGTGCTCATTATATACTAAAGGTGTGTACATAAATGAATAAATTAAACAAGATTGTATATTTTCAAATATATTTTATTGGAGCTTATTTTTATTTGCAGGGTGGCATTGAAGTATTTAACTATGCTATATGTGCTCAACTAGCTATTAATTTGTTCTTTGACATTAAGAAAATAATTAAAAAACCACTGTTAATAAAATCAGTAATCTTTAAGAAGGGCAATTTAAATTTGGCTGTGTTTTTAGGTGGTTTTGCAGGACTTTATAGGGTACTGTAATACTTTTACCTAAAAACCATAACATATTTGTTTATTAATCTAATAATTTTCAAATCTATTTTAGCTAGTATCCTGTTTATTAAGAAGATATAGA